GCGAAGAGCTTCCCAAGTTTACACCCAGAGCCAAGCACCCGCGACTTGCAACCGGACCGCAGGACTCTCTGACTCACCCTCGTGAAATCGCCCGGATCCTGGATGATCCCTCCATCACCTGCGTCATCCTCTGAAAGTCGATTCCTTACTCGCCCGAAGAAGGCTACTCTGGCGGCACCTTAACAAAACAACTTCTGTCCCCAGATGAGTCAACCTGTCCCATCAATAGGGGGTGTTCCCTCCAAACACCAAAAGTGAGACGCCCCTCCCATGAAAATCAACCAACGGGATATGAATCCGAAATTTCCGTTGACTGATCAAAGTGAAGGCGTGCAAGGTCGACTGCAACTAAGATTCGTATCCGCTTCCCACCTGACACAATCCACACCTGGCTCGGCCCCCCGGCTTGGAATTGCCTTAGCTTGCCATGAAAAAAAGGCACACCCCCTTCTCGATTTGAAGAATAGACACAGACACGTCCATACTCAACATCACCAGCTGTTGTCAAAAACGATTCCTCCATGAACTCAGAGGAATCCAGAAACAACTAAAAACAACAACACAAAAGTTGAAACCCAGCAGAAACAAATACTCAACACAAGCCCAAACAGACATGGCATCTAGTAGAAGAAAACCCATACTATAGATACAACCTACTCAGCAGAGTTAACACAGCGGCTGCGACATCTGCTCGGAAATACAAAGACGTTATGAAGACAACAAACAGCTGCACACTCAACATTTCAGGAGACAAACGGCGGTGAAATCCACCAAACAAGAACACAATAATTAGTAGTGATATTCACTCAGCAAAAGACACCAGCAGAAAAATTGTCTACCCGCGAAGAATGACAACCAGAGGTAACGTGTTCTGCTGCAAAACCTATCGACTGGCAAAGCTACTCCGAGCAAGAAACCGGCGCAACTCCAATCCACTTCATTTTGAGAACGGTAGTGAAATCTCCCTAAGACATAGGAACACTGAAATATGAACATGAGAAACGCACGGGCAATAACTACAACATAGAGCAATACAGTCAGACAAAAGGATAACTCGGCAGCAACATCTTCTCAAAATAATCAAACACGGCGGTGACATATGCTTGATAGATCGGTAGACAGCTACTCAAACAAGACACGTAACAGACCGGCGATATCCAATGAAAGAACGAACACCCGACAGTGGAATCTCAAACCAGTAATCAGGTTCCCTCTAAGTGGTCCTTGGTTTGGTGGTTTGGAGGTTAGGGGGGTTTTCCAGTTGCCCTTAAGAAGCAGGGCTTCAAATTCAATCCACCGGGATCGAAACCACCAATTGGGGGGACACACTGCCATAACATTCAACGCACTAATCTCTCAGAAAAAGAAACACCGGCTCCGATTCAGCCAGCGACAAGTGACATTAATTAAACAACAAACAACAACAAGCAAAACATCGGCAGTGCCAGTGCTTTTGCGAGGGTACCCCTTCTAGGTTGGTTCAAGGGGGCATTTAATGAGAAACTGGGGTGTCCGAATGCCATTTTGAGACTTGTAACCCCCCCCCCCCCCCCCGCCAAAGGACAAACCCACGCGCTTCGCTTTCGCGTCAGGTTGCTGGTGGCAGGTCTCCAGCTGGTCTTGGCATTCCGGGAAAAAGGGTTTGAAGCCGCTGCCCGTCTCGAAGAGCCATGGCCTCGTTGCCGCCGCCTCCGGCACGGAGCCTCGGCAGAGCCGCCGCGGAGTCGCCGCGCCTTCCGCAAGGAGCGTCATGGTGGCGAAGTCCACGCGCATCCTGCGAGTCCCACATTGCCAGGATCCGGCTTGATGAAACGCTTGGCTTGCGCATTTTTGAGAGGTACACACCCTCGGACGATGAAAGCTCCCAGAAAGCCTCTGAGTCGTTCGCGGGGAGGGAACCTTTTTGTCAAACAGCCGAAAGGACAAAGATCTATCCTCAGCTGGTTTCCTTGTCTGGGACAATTAAAGGACTATCTAGACCATCTAGCACCGCGAACCGTAGTTTTCCAGAATGGTCCAAAACTGGATCGAAACTCACCCCACAACCCTTTCCCCCAAACCCCCCCCCCCAAACCCGCCCACCTCCCCCAACCCCCCACACATCTCCCCCCCCCCCGAGCGCGCTCCTGGGGTTTTCGTTGACCCAGAGCTGCGAAGGCCCGCCCCGCTGGAAGCTCCGAAAGGCGGGCTCCAGGTCGCAGCCCACGGCCCGGTAGCCCCGGTAGCCCGCCTCGCTCTCCTTGAATAAATCCATCTTCCAGCGGCCCGGAAAAACCAGGGTGTGGGGGGGTGTGGGGGGGTGTGGGGGGGGTGTGGGGGGGTGTGGGGGGGTGTGGGGGGGTGTGGGGGGGTGTGGGGGGGTGTGGGGGGGTGTGGGGGGGTGTGGCGGGGGGTGGGGGGGTGTGGGGGGGTGGGGGGGTGTGGGGGGGTGTCGGGGGGTGTGGGGGGGTGTGGGGGGGTGTGGGGGGGAAGGGGGTGGGGTTTGGGGGGGGGGGGGAATTGATTCAATATTCCCGGGGTTCGTGCTACTCAACGTGCTTTGGGTCTAAGTCACTATAGTCACTATATGGGGGTTGATCAAGATTCCCGACCCCCAAATGACTATGGGCAACTTTCCCATTTAGTGCTTCCCAATTCGGTCGTACTTTCCTTTTGGCGGTTGCTTTCCCATTTAGTTACTAGGTCCTCCAGTGGAGAGGTTAAAACAAGGGCACCTTTTTTTGTTCTGTAGTCTATTTTGGTAGGGGAACCCTCTCCCAAAAAAGGGTGAAAGGGCACTGCTGGGGGACCTTGCTGGTAAACAACTGAGTTAAGCCTCGTGGGAAGATATCAAAAAAACTATGTCCAATGGTGAAATCGCTTCCCTTTAACAACCAACAGGGGAAAAGAACAAATCTTCTTTTCAGCGAATGCAAGTCAATTCGGTGGGGATTCGGCTCGGCACCCCCCAATTGGGGTGGGGTCCAAATCCTAAGGACGAGCCCAAAACCACCGCCAAACACTTTGGTGCCTTCCCAGCGCTGTGGGGATTTGAACATGGAGTCTTCTGACCCAAAGGTTAGCCGAAAGAAAGGGGTCCTGGCCATAGGTGTCCTTTTAGGGAAATAGATGGCCCTGGTAGATGATTCAACCACCAGGTAAACCAGTGCCATCTATTTTTGAACCAAAACCACCCAAAAAGGGCACCTATGGTCCTGGCCCTTTTCCCATTGATTCGGAGCACAATGGAAACTCCTCATACCTTCCGGTTTTGGAGTGTAGCCAGGTTACCAACATACTAAGTAAGCACCGAACAACCAAGGAAGTGGGTGCCAGTTCATTTCCTTCCGCTTCAAGGACTCGAGTTTCACATCCAAAGGAGCAACCCTTGGTAAGCCCATGGACCAAACCCAAGGCGTTCCTCCTCGCTGCCTTGAAGCCCCTGATTCCAAGCAACACTCTTTTGGAGCACTTGCATCTGTTCACTGAGATTTGAACCATACCCGCGTGGCAGGGCGCGACTTTCGGTGAAAAGGCGACTGTTCCCGAGCAAAAGCCGACTTCCCCCGACCTGGCTTGCACAACACGACGAAGGGTCCTTTCGGAACAAAGCCGGCAAATTCGATGGCACAGGAATATAGGGTGGACACTCTGAGCTCACGGCGAGGCATTGCTTTTGTGTGACAGCTCGCGGGTTGGGCACATTGGCAGATAAAACTATGGGTGCGGATATACTTCGGGATTCTTTTCTGTTTTTTGTTTTCTCGTCCGGGCCAGTAAAATGTCGTAGTTTACAGCATTTTCTCGCGAAATTGACGCATTTTACACTAGCCCGTCAACATCCCCAGCATCGTTTTCAACATCCCCCGCATGTCTGGCCAACATCCCTAGCATCACCAACAAATCGTGGGTAACAAAATCGGAAAGAACAAAAAAAGCTGGCGGGTTGACGGGGTCAAAACAAAAGATGATTCAGATAGGAGGGCATTTCATGATGTTCGCAGAAATGATGATTCGAATAGGGGTGCAATTCAATCTCTGCAAAAGTCTAAAAAGTAGGAGGGGGGTTTGGGGGGGCGGCAGCCCCCCCATGACGTTTGAAGAATTGATGATTCAACTAGGGGTGCAGTTAAATCTGTGTAGAACATCTAAAGCGTAGCGGGGGGGTTGGGGGTGGCGGCAGCCCCCCCCCATGATGTCGGTAGGGATGCAATGATTCAAGAAAGGGTGCGATAGAATTTAAAAGGCAGCGGGAGGGTTGGCGGGGGTGGCTTCCCTTATGATGTTCGAAGAAGTGCATACATACAGACATACATGGATTACACAGATTACCTAAAATATTGTATTTTGCAGCATTTTCTCGCGAAATTGGACGCTCGAAAAAGTGATGATTCAAATAGAGGTGCAATTCTGCAAGAAATCTACAAGTAGCGGTGGGGTGGGGGGGGGGGGGGCGGCAGCCCCCCCCCCATGATGTTTGAAGAAGTGTTGATTCAAATAGGGGCGCAATTACTCTGCAAACAATCTAAACAGTAGCGGGTGGGTTGGGGCGAAGAAGTGATGATTCAAATAGGGCGGAACTGGTGATGCTGATGATGCGGGAAGCCAAATCCAAAAACCAATGAAAGGGTGCAAAATCCAAAAAGCCCAGAGAGGAACTGTGAAAGCAGAGGCTGCGAAAAGCCAAAGCCAAAACCCACCTGCCGAAGAGGAACTGGGAATGCAAAGAATGCGAAAGCCAAAGCCAAAAGCCACCAAAAGCCGCATAAACCAACAAAAAGCCGAATAGCCCAGAAGCCAAGAAGCCAAGAAGCCGAAAAGCCAAGAAGCCAAGAAGCCAAAAAGCCAAGAAGCCAAAAAGCCAAAAAGCCAAGAAGCCAAGAAGCCAAGAAGCCAAGAAGCCAAGAAGCCAAGAAGCCAAGAAGCCAAAAGCGAAAAACCAGAAAAATCCTAAAATCAATACCCCTCCTAAAACTATTGGCGTTGGCCTCAAATGTCCTCCAGCACGAAACGTTATCCAAGTACAGGTATTGGGTGGTAAAAACCCGCGAATGTGATCCCCCGAATGTGATTTCCTGGTTGGAGAATAGATTCCCTTTACCCATGAGCGGATGGAAGGCATTGGCCTTCAGGGTTCAGGCTCTGAGGTTCTGAGAGTCCTGATCTTATACAGACTCGGTGCCAGTTGGATGCAGCACCTCCTGCCAAAAGTAAAGCCTTCGTCAAACGAGACGAAGACTCTTCCACAAGCTGGTCTGTGCAATGCTCTGGAGGGTAACTGGCCATGTTCGACCAAGATGCGTAGGACCACGCCGGCGGCGCTTCCTCGGAGATGGTCGCCGCGGGGTTCGCATCGGCGAACACCGCCAGGGCTGCATCGGCGCAGGCTCGGCCGGTGGCAGCGGCCGGGCTGGCGAGCACTACTTGCTCCTCGGGCATGGCTTGATGAGTCCGGCTCCGAACGCAGCTTTCAGGTGCCATTGGGCTGTGGGTCAAAACCAATGGTACCATTTTGGGATAGGTGCACCACCCATTTTAGTCTATTTTAGCGGGGATTGGGATGTTCACTGGGGGTACGGGGTTTCGACCCAGCAATGCCCCGTTCAAGTCACGGACATACCCCCGATAAACTCGACCCCGAACCGCAGGTGCTCAAAGCCGATCTCAGAGCATTTCAGGTTCTATGAGTGTTGACTGAAGGAAGCCCCCCTCCACATCTATATCGCGATAAGCCGCTGCATCTCTCTGAATGGGGAAGCCCCGCAATGAAGCGAAGAAGCGATGAAACTTGCACGCAAGTTTAAACGCCTAAAGGGCTGCTCGGGAATACAAAAGGAGCAAACCACAAAAAGTGTGAAGCTCACTTTTTGGGCAGAGTGGCCAAAAGAAGTAACCAAACTTGTTTTCTACCACTTGCATGTTTCAGACCTCAAAAGTGACAAAAGCACGAAACGTAACTCAGAAAGTGCGAAAATCCCGGATCGGAAAGGGACATGTGTTTCTTCCAGACCTCTGGTCCTCTCAAGGGCCCTCCCGAACGACTTGATCTAGCCTAAACAATTCGCACGGAGCATCGTCTCTGAAATTACTGGTGACCTCTACATGGCTTTGTTTTAAATTCGGGAACCCATCTGTTGGTTTTCCCCGTGGATCCATTTGCCTGTATACTAAGTTACCAAGACCCCTTGACACCCTAAAAAAAACTAAACGGAAAATAGTGAAGGTCTACCTACTATAAGGGCTTCCCTGGCATCCACCGCGTTTCCTTTTTGGTTTCCCCATGAAAATGGCATCTGGGTTCTCTTTTGGTTTCCCCTTTGCAAAAAAAAATCGGCACCGGCCAAACCGATCTGCATAATGGTTCCCTGTTCAAAGGCATTGTGAACGAACCCGTTCCCACAACCAAAAGGAGCCTTAAAAACTGTGGGTGGAAGAACTGGATAGATGAAACCCTACAAATAATGGGAGCAAACCACCTACCAACTGGTGCAGGATTTTGTCCATCCACAGTAGGGGCACTGCAAAACTCAGCGAAACATACCCGTCCGCTTTTGGCTTCCCTTTGGGGGAATCTAACTATCTCGTGCCCCGCAATCACTGGCTGAGCTCCCCGCAAAGGCGCTTCCCAAAACCAGCAACGCCTCACCCAGGGCGCGCCCCACTGCCTCGCAGACACAGAGAAGGGTAGCCTCCAAAGAACCTACACCCAAGAAACATCTAGCCGTGAGGTTGCAAGGGACCCCATGTTCTCACGAGGCAAGAAACTATCCCGGGGAAAGACCTTGAGCGACGGGACACTTCCAGATGGAGAGTTTGGGTTCGCTCCAAAAATGGGGAGGGGGGGGTGCCCGAAAAAACGAGTCATTTCTCAAACCGATTTCTTGTTAAGACAAAGAACATTTTTAGTTGGCAATCCCCTCCCTGACAAGGCCAAATGGGGTTGGACTTGAAGAAATTGCAGTGTCTTTGTCTTCGGGCTTTGGAGCAGGGCGTGATGGCAAATGAAGCTTGTCATGACAGAATCCTTTTGACCTGGTGCGCTGTTCACCATCACTTCATCCCTTCCTCCAGAGATGAAGCTTGACATGGACAGCATGACACGCAAATCTATTTTTTGCCCGCGCTCACGGTCCATGAATGGAGAGAACAAGTCAGAAAGTTCTCCGATACGCCTGGAAGTTCAAGTGATTTTGGCTAAATGACCCAGGAACGCCCACACAGTTTGGCTCCATCAAGGTAGCATAGGTTCATAAAGGCCTCCTCCCCGACCGTTTGTCAACGCCAGCAAACCCCTTTTAAAACCACAACATCATTTTGCCCCACCCCTCCCCCAAAAAGCAACAACAAAACCAACAACTCGATCCCTGTTCAGAAATGTCAAACCCTTCGGCTTCGGACTCGCGGAGACGCCTGGGGCTCGTTCCTGAAGACCCCGCAGCCCGCGTCCGGCAGCACCAGGCAGTTGGCCCCGGCCACAAAGGCCGCCACCAGCGCTGCCCGCCACCGCGCCTTCAGCGCCTCCGTCTCGACGGTGCTCGCGGGTCGCGACGAAAAGAGGAGACGGCCATGGGGTTATTTCCTCCTTTGGGGGAAATAGATGGCCCGGATGATTGAACCACCAGGTAAACCCGGGCCATCAATTTTTCGAGCAAAACCAAAAAGGACACCTAGGCCCATGGGGGTGAGGGGAGACTCCATGTTTAAATGTTCAAATTCCAGCGCCGCAGATAGGAAACAGCTTTGGAGGTGTTTTCATCTGGGCTCGTCTTTTACGATTTGGACCCCTTACACTGGCGCAACTCTTGGATTCCTCGGGGAAAACAAAAGTTCGTTGTGCGTCACCTTACTGAACCGAACGTCACTTGAAATTGGCTCGAAAGTGATGTTTAAAGCCAAAAGAGGCAATACTGGGACCCCTGCCTGGAGTCTGCATGACCCCTAGAAAAAGGGGAATGACCCCGTTTTCAAAGGGTCATGGAGACTCCAGGTGCATTAATTCTCTAAGAGTTGAGACAATCTCACAAGTGTGGACCTGAATCCCCATCGAAATGATGTCCAAAAGTCCCAATTGGTGGTTTCGATAGGTGGCTGGTGGTGAAATGGAGAGTTCTTCCCATCTGCCCTCCACAAGGGTTCCAAGAACCCAAACAAAATCCAAACCACCAAAAAAGAAGAAGAAGAAGAAAACAAAGAAAAAAAACAACAGTATGATTAAGACGGGGATACCCGATACCCGATAAAACAAAAAAAGAAGGGATACCCGAAGCAAAGGAGTCGCCAATGTTGAGCATCGGTCATTGATTTCGGCTTCCGCGCGGCCTCCATGTACTCGGTGTGATCTCGGGGCGCATCCACCGGGGAGTCGGACATGCGCTCGTTGCGGTTCGGCATCGCCACGGAGATCATGGCCTCCATTGCTGTCCCAGGAAACAAACGACGCCAAGCTGGGGGGACGTACCTGGAGTCTCCATGACCCTAAAAAAGTGGGGTCGCAACCCAAAATAATGGGGTCATTGACCCATTTTTGAAGGAGCTGGTCAAATCAAAATACCAGTTTCTGTTTGCTGTTCCTAGGTCAAAATTGGCTTGCTATTGAGAACCTAGCAACGAAGCCAAAGGCACTAAAAGGAGAAGCCACGAAAGAAAAGGAAACCAAGCCATATTGATCCTTGGGCTTTGATCATCCCAGAGGCGTTCCAATCCGAACAGAATTTCATCACCCGAATCGAGGCTTGGGCTTGAAACGAAGTGCCTGTTGAGTCATTCCCGCGGCTCCAACTCCCGATGACAAGGGTGACATTAGTCCCGGGTGCAGAAAGAATTCCATCAAAAACAAACAAACAAGATGAACATAAAAAAACAGCCAAAAAAACAACAACAACCAACAAACACACAAACAAACAAACAAACAAACAAACAAACAAACAAACAAACAAACAAACAAGCAAGCAAGCAAGCAAGCAAGCAAGCAAGCAAGCAAGGAAGCAAGCAAGCAAGCAATCAAACAAACAACCACACAAACAAACAAACAGCCACACAAACAAACAAGCAAACAAACAAACAGGCAAAAGAACAAAGCAACCAAACAAGCAAGCAAGCCAACAATCAATCAAACCAGCAAGAATTCTACCTTCGTGGTTTGAGCATGGTTCCCTGGCCTGTCTGTCTGAGCGATATGGAACCCAAAGGATAAAGGGCTTCAGTTTGGCTGCCCCTTACAAGCAGCCCCTTTTTGGGGCTTCCCGAACCAACAACACCCGGCGATGCATAACTCAAGTGGCCTGGACCAAGCAAAGGCTTGGCCCCAACCGGCGATATCTGAAACCGCCCAGCTGAAATGCGAGGAACGCTTGTGCCAAAGAGCCAACAGGGGAGGGCACACCATTTCAAACGCATCCCGTATCAGCTGTATCCGCTTAGGCAATTTAACGCGAAATGAGAGGAAGGACAACCCGGAGCTCGGGCAAGCAAGTTTGTATACATGTGACATCAGGCACAGGATGCGCGAGGGTCTATGTGTCCCTCCTGGCAACAGGATCGCTTCCAATGGAAACTCCACCCCAAATTGACCCAGGTGATCTCTAATGTCTAAAACCTATCTCCGCTTAAATCGTTGTGCTGTTCTCTCTGCAATTTTCGAACTCAACCTAAGTGAGGTCTCCAAAATGGATTTGTCACCTCTTGACGTTCCCCCCCACCAAAGCGGTGTCAGTATCCGCACTGAGGAGTCGCGCTTCGAAAGAAGTATGCTTCAATTTCCGACTTCACGTCGGCCAGACCGAGGTCTGCGAATGATCAAGCGCACGAGCACTCAAATAAGCCCAGCTGCCGGACCCATGGACGTGCCATGTGGCCAACCACATGACTCCCCCGGTGGAAACACGGAACTTCCACTCAGTTGTTCAGTGACCCTGGAAAAAAAAGGGAAACCTTTTGGGGAAGACCATTTTTAGTGGGACAGCCACCAAAAAAAGAAGGGGAAAAAGAATTGGTGCCACTGAACTGAGTCCACGCCTGCAGCAAAAAGGGTCGCTGCATGAAGGGGTAGCCTTCGTTGGTGCCCCGCCGAAAGACTTCCACCCAGGGCGACAGCAGCGCCCCATCTGCAGGTAGATGCGGCGTCCTGGGAAAAGGATCGCTAGTTCTCGGCAGGGGTTCCAATAAGGGTGGCAAGCAACAACTTGCTTTTTTGTCGGCAGGCATTCCCTACTGAGCACCGGCAAGTGCTGTCTTTTAGCTGTTGCTCAACATAGGAACCGCCCAGTTGAACTTAGCCGGTAGAAAAAGGATCGGAACCGTTGAGTCTTGGAGTTGACTTCCTTAGCGGTTTCAGACTCTTTCAAATCAAAGAAACAAATTTTCACGGGGCCCGGCATGCACCGCGCCGGTGGACCCACTCGTCGCTTTTTTGTGCCGCGGCGCCAGCGATCCCCCAGCCAGGGGGGAGATCTGACGTTGGCCTCATGGGCCAACTGCTGGCCCCGCTGCAGCGAGGAATACAAGGTGCTCTGCACCTGGGACATGGGCTCCAGATCGTCGAAGAACTGCCTGGAGTCTCCATGACCCTTTCTTAAAAATGCCAAAATTAAGGAAAAACATGACCCCTGTTTCTACTGGTCATGGAGACTCCAGGTGGGGGGGTCACGGCATAGTGATCTGTGTTGGAACCCCTTTGTGAAGGATGCCTCTGCCTTGGCGTCACGGTCACTTGCCACGGCCTTCGGGCTTTACTCAGCGGATGGGAACGGTTGTGGGAGAGCAATGGGAGAAATCAGCCGCGCAAGATTGGAACAGCTTCCCCTTCGCGGGGAAACTTGCCTCTTTTCACGTGTCAAACTCGGGAAGTTTGGATTTCCTGGTGTCCTGTTGGGTTCCCGAGAACACACCCAACCGATATAGTAAAGGGTGCCTCAGCAAAAGAAATTGGACGCAGCCATTTGGGAACCTCAACCTAAACATAAGGCTACCTCCAACATCAAAATTGGCACCAAGAACAGGGGTTACTGCGGCATGCGCCAACAAAGTCCACTCCGCAGGGCGTCCCTACATGGGCCGACTGTTGAAGGTTGGGCCAACAAAACTTCGCAACAGTCTCCCTTCGGCTTCCCTTCAAAACCACCAAGCATGGCCATACCGAGCCTCAAAACACAGACTCGGAAGCCCGACCTGGAGTCTCCACGACCCTTAAAATATGGGCTCCTTACCCAAAATTAACATGGTTAGACTTAGGCCCAGGTATAGAATGTATATTATATTGTTTGCTTCCCTTTGAGTCACTGGTAAAATGTAAAATGTATCCTAAGTCTAACCCAGTTAAGGATGGCGCCCTTTCTCTAGGGGTCAGAAGAAGACTCCAGGTACATATTGATCCTCGGCGCGCACATGGACTCCTCGAGCGCATGCCTGCCCCCGCTGGAGAACCCGCCCCCGCAGTGGTACGCGGAAGCGGCGTTCACCGCCGCCACCTTGTAACCTCGGTACCCATCGGGACGTGGGCCAAACCCATGGGGCCCGAGAGGTCGACATCTCCGCCCCCCCCGAGAAAGCCCCCCAAGAGGTGGCAACCACCCCCCGCAGAAGGGCACAGAAAAGGAAGCCCCAAGCCCAGGGCCTTCGGGCACCCGGTAGGCCACCATAGCAACGGACATGTTTTTCTGTCCAACGGACAGAGCTAGGAACTACTGTGTCAAGAAAGCATGTCATTACCTGAATTCCTCAGGAAGGGATGACAGTGCCTACCAAGTAAAGCATGTGGTTTGACCTTGGCACAGCGAACATGGGTTCTCCAACTGGCCCCAATGGTGGGGTTCCTTCTGCTTCTCCTGAAAGACCGTGGTCAAACTTCTGAACCGGCGAAGGCTTCTCAAAAATGGACCCCTTTTTGCCTTGGTGGTTGAAGGGAAACTCATTCCTGGCCCCTGTTTTGAAAACCTTCATGGCAACTCCTTGCGTGCAAATAGGATTCCTTATCAAAGATGACACCCACCACAAATGAGCATGGTTCCACAAACAGGGCACCCTGCCAAAAAAATGTTCCAAAATTGCGATCGTGATGTGGGGTCAACATTTGGTGCCTGACGGAAAACCATGGCCCATGGCCCAGGTTGCTCACCCCGTTCCCCCCACAGTTTCCCATCTGGGATGTGTTTTCCATTGGAGATTTGACCATGGGTCAAAATCCGGTACCCCCAGTGAACATCCCAATCCAACCACTAAAATAGACTGGAATGGGTGGTGCACCTACCCCAAAATGGTACCATTGGTTTTGACCCACAGCCATTTGAACATGTCTCCTTCTGCGCCGAATCAAAACATGGGGTCCGTTCTTCCCCATGTTTGGTTCGGGTCAGACCCTGTTTCATCATTCGCTTCCCGCTTCCCCGAGCCGAACAAAAGACCGAGCGAGCGAAAAAGAGCGAGCGATTGATTGAGGCGCGCCTTTGGCGCACCACGCTTCCGCGGACTCCAGAACGGTCTTCTGCTCAAAGACAAGGCTCGAAGTTGCGGACCTCGAGATCGCGCTCAGCGCCAGGCGCTCAGGCGCTCAGGCGCTCAGGCGCTCAGTTAATGTGATGCCCAAAGGAAGCCACCGGCTGTTGAGGGTTTCCTATATGTCGATTCTCACCAGGACATATAGAATCTCGCAAGAATCTTGGTCGTTTTCTTGTTGGCGTCCAAAATGGACAGCTTGAAGCCGTGTTTTTCAGAATGGGTTGTGCTGACCTCCGAGTAACGGTAACGCCTTCCACATGCGCAGCTAAGCAGCGGCTCAGGCAAGGAGGTGTCGGCAGTGGGCCAGAAACCACAGGAGGGGGACACCAGCTTGGTGCCCGCCACGCAGCGGCTGATGTGGCGCAAAAGCACGGTCTGGTTGCCTCGGATTAGCTCGGCTGGCCGGCACCCGGCAGAAAATAGGGAAAGGCCCTGTTTGTCCAGTCCGGCCTACTTGTACCTTTGGTGTACTTGTTGAAGCAGGCTCCCCCCCCCCCACGGGGGCGAGCGGTTTTGTGCACCAAAGCTGTGAGTCGCTTGCCTTGCCTGCACATAGCACCACAGACCACACGGAGCCATCGCAAAACGCGGCCAACAGTGGAGTGGAGTGCCTCTGGCACTCAACTGTGGGTGGTATCTGAAAACTGGCATTGGCATCAGTTACCCTGTTTCCAACACAAGTTGCCGAGTTGGGTGGTTAGAAAAGAACCGTCCAAGCGCAGCTGCAACGCCGGGCTTCTTTTGAACTCCTTTCACAAAGCTTTGAGTTTGGGGGGTTCCCATCTTGACAGCCGTAGCTGCCTATGCTTGGGAGGCGCATCATGGGTGAGCCGGGTAAGCCACAAAGCTCCTTGTAATTTCTGTAGAAACATCACCAAATTTGAACATGCGTCATCTAGCGCAAGAGCAATATGTTTTGGCCTCTCCTTGCTTCTCATACTGTGGATGGACGAAATCCTGCACCACCTCAAAAACCCTGGAATAATAATTTCCTTAATAATATTAACCAAAAACCAATGGTGTCCAATGGATTCAACCTGGTGCGAAGGGATTTCGCAACCATCCACGATATGGAAACCCATACCGCTGCCCGATTCATTGCAAGTCTTAGCTGATTTCGTCAGGAGAGATCACCAAGAAGCTGGAGAACGCTGAGCCTGAATCCTCAAGACTAGACTGGGCTGCCCTCAGATCGCCCGCTGAAAGTGACTCACTTTTAGTGGGTTAAATGGAAACTACCACTAAACACCAAAAGGCCAAAAAGCTAAGGAACCGGATGGTTGGGAGCCACCAAGTAGACATGACCCCTATCTACCATGGTTATAGCGGGAATGTAATGCATATGTATAATAATAAAAACGATACATATAAATAATATGGGGACGCCCCACCAAAACAAAATGGGTTGTCCTTTTGGATTCGGTACTCCCAAAAAAGGACACACCTATATTAATATAGTAAAGGCCTTGCCTTACTGTGTCCTTTCTCAAATCAGGGACTAGACGCACTACAAAATGGCCCCTTTTTTGGAGGTTCGGCTTTGGAGGTTCCGGGCGCTTTGGGAAAGCCACAACGTCAAAAGATCACAGCCAGGGTGCCCATTCTGTCCTCCATCCTGCCTTGGACTATGAGCCCAAACAAATAGGTTGGGGGTCGACAAACCCGAAAAAGGGGGCTTCATAGCCACATTTCTCCACTTGGGGCTTGACTCGCACTGGTGGATCCACGCGTAAAATCCAGTTGGTGTCCCTTTTTGACCTCAACAGGTACTCCCAAAAACGCCCACCGAAGGCCTCTTTGGCCAATTGCCACCCTCAAAGTTGCCGTCAAAGCACCCAAGACGTAGCCCAAACACTCCACGCAGCGGCTGGTCTGACCTGGATGCAACTCACCAAAGGAAACACAGGCAACCAACTGAATGGAACCTCCACCCTGTTCAGTGGGAGAAACCGGGAACCGTCTGGGTATGGGCTAAAAACCTCGAGGGGACTGCTTGTTTTAGTCCTGCAGTCCACTTATCAGGGCAAGGTGGATGAAGGTTAGTCAGTCTCAATGGCCACAGCGTGGCGCCAACGGATCGACACCAGGAAATCTCCTTGCCAACTCGGCTGCCGAAACCAATTCAGCCTGGACACGCAAAAAACCGAGCGAGAATCTGTGCTTGTCACATTTTGCCACTTCAGGATGATGCGGATGAGGATAAGGATAAGGATAAGGATAAGGATGATGCTGATGATGATGATGAAGAAAATGATGACGACGATGATGCTGATGATGACAAGGATATCTCAATCAAACTTGAAATGCTGCATTAAACCCTGACAGAAAGAGGTAACCTGGAACCAAGACTTGTCCACCATCTGCGCCCGTTTCACAGGAAACAAGCCAACGTGTCCGATCGCTTGCACCAAAGGACAAAAGGTGTGTGTGTGTGTGGCATCCGAAAGAAACCGAGTTGTTAGAACCCATTTAACAGCTCATTTTCCGGATCTCCTGCTGGCTGGGTCTCAACCCTCCCATGGACAGAAATCACAATATGTCTTACATCTCGCCAACAACAAGAAACGTCCATTTGCTTCGTTGCTTAAGCCGCCTGAAAAAAACATAAAACCGATTTTCCTTTCAGCAAATTTGGAAGGAAACTGTATCCTAAAGGCGAAGTATAATAGGTCCTCCAGTAGAGAGGCTAGAATCAGGGTACCAACTTTATTATGGTTTGTCTATTTTGGTAGGTGAACCCTCCCAACCAAAAAAGAATCGGTAAAAGTTGGCACCTAGCTGGGGGACCGAGTATGGAGAGCCCAGGAAGCCAGGCGCCTGCCACTGCTCTCCTGGCCGCCCTCTCAGGCTCGCTGTTCCCAGTGCGGAGCCAGGTGTGCGTCCCGTCGCTGCCCAAAGCTGGTGCGCTGGCCGGGTCAACGTGGAAGACATCCCTTGGCCCACACACGGTTTTGTCAGTTTTTGCGGCCAACCCCACAGGTTTTGGTCAGTTCTTGCGGCCAACCCCCTTCTTTCTGTTGGCTTTTGCGGCAAGCCGAAAGGTCACCAACCAGTATAGGGGGGGTCTAGCCAATTCCCGCCAACCCCTTGCTGAAAGGGGGGGCGCTAGATGCAAGGGTATGTTTTGAGTCTACGAGCTACATCATCATACTTGCTCCCTTAGGCACTGGGGTTGGGGGTGATGCTAGTAGTGCAATCAGCTTTGATCACTATTCCTTATATGTAATCACGCTGGGCTTTAACACATATCTCCAGTAGTGATAGATTCCCTTTAAAACCAAGAGATGAACATTACATAATATTCTTAAGCAAATGGACGAGGGGCACAAATCCTTGTCGTTTGCCGAAGAAGAAATTAGTTTCTTTGCACTCGCTGAGGCTTGATGGTACCCTGCTCTTCCAGGGTCGACATGCGAAGGAAACCAGGATCTGTATCACCGGCAAATGTTTCAATGCGTTCTGGTGTGTCTTCTTCCTCGTCTGTGCTTCCTGCATGACGTACTCATGTGATCGACACATCGCTGCGTTGCTGGCAACCAGTTCAGTTTACAAGCAGAGTCGATGAAAAACACGTGTCGCCTGGGGTTGGGTATGATAGTTTGTTTTTTCCTTCTTTTTTATCGGGCGTACTGACGACCAGAGTAGTCTACATAATGTTGCAACTTTGCACGTATTCATGTAACCGACAGATGAGCAAGCGGCAAAACCTAAGACTACTTTGGGCGATTTCGAGCAACTGGTTATTCCCCAAACAGTTTACTGTGAGGGGTTCTAAATTCATTTAAGGTGGCTCGCCTGTTGCCAAGCCCTAGCCTGGATGCCTGGCACAGCTCTCTGGGTGGACGGGTTCATTTGTCTCCCTGTGTCTCCCTTCATTTGTCTCCCGTTGTCTCCCCGCCTGGATGCCTGGCACGGCTCTCTGGGTGGACGCGTTCGTTTGTCTCCCTGGGTTCACTTGTCTCCCTTTGTCTCCCTTCATTTGTCTCCCGTTGTCTCCCAGCCTGGATGATCCAGTCTGGGTGGACGGGTTCATTTGTCTCCCTTTGTCATTTGTCTCCCGTTGTCTCCCAGCCTGGATGCCTGGCACGGCTCTCTGAGTGGACGGGTTCATTTGTCTCCCTTTGTCTCCCTTCATTTGTCTCCCAGCCTGGATGCCTGGCGCGGCTCGGGTTCATTTGTCTCCCTTTGTCTCCCTTCATTTGTCTCCCGTTGTCTCCCAGCCTGGATGCCTGGGTGGACAGATTCACTTGTCTCCCTTTGTCTCCCTTCATGTGTCGCCCGTTGTCTCCCTCCCTTGATTTCTCCCGTTGTCTCCCAGCCTGGATGCCTGGCACGGCTTTCTGGGTGGACGGGTTCATTTGTCTCCCTTTGTCTCCCTTCATTTGTCTCCCGTTGTCTCCCAGCCTGGATGCCTGGCGCGGCTCTCTGGGTGGACGGGTTCATTTGTCTACCTTTGTCTCCCAGGATGTCTGGCACCCCTTTGTTTCCCTTCATTTGTCTCGCGTTGTCTCCCAGCCTGGATGCCTGGCATTGTTTTTTTGGTGGACAGATTCACTTTTCTCCCTTTGTCTCCCTTCATTTGGCTCCTGTTGTCTCCCAGCCTGGATGTCTGTCACGGCTCTCCAGGCGGACGGATTCACTTGTCTCCCTTGGTTCCCCTTCATTTGTCTCCCATCTCTGTGGGTGGAAGGATTCATTTGTTTCCCTTTGTCTCCCTTTATTTGTCTCCCGTTGTCTCCCAGCCTGGATGCCTGGCACGGCTCTCTGGGTGGACGGATTCATTAGCCTGGATGTGTGGCACTCACGCTCCGCGGTTTCCTTCACTTCCCGCGGTTCTGTCCTTTTGGCGGGGTCTGGTTTGCCTTCGGCTTCGGCCCTGGCTTCGGTCTTTCCTTGTCTTGTGGATGTTGGGGACAGGGTCCTCTGTCTGCCCTTCATCTGGACTTCGATTTCGCTTGGGCTCGTGGTGGGTCGTCTTCCTTGTCTATCGTTGGCTACACCCTGTCTGTTCGTTCAGTGCCTCGTTATCAGTTGCGGTCCCGAGCTGACGATAGCGGTGCGCTGCGGCGCGCGGCTTCAGCTACGAGAAGGCTCTGTTAACCCCCCGGTGAAACAAACGTGAATCACGCTGGAGTTAAATCCTCTATCGATTCGTCGAGGATGTTCAACGAACCTTACGCTGAGATACCCAGTGGTGCTCTTGGCACCTGGGGTTGTCCCGGCTCTCCCGGCGGACGGGTTCATTTGTCTCCCTCTCCCTCCATTTGCCTGACGGATTCATTTGTCTCCCTTTGTCTCCCTTTATTTGGCCCCGGTTGTCTCCCAGCCTGGAGACATGTCACGGCTCTCTGGGGTGGAGGGGTTCATTTGTCTCCCTTTGTCTCCCTTCATTTGTCTCCCGTTGTCTCCCAGCCTGGATGCCTGCCACGGCTCTCTGGGTGGACGGGTTCATTTGTCACCCTTTGTCTCCCTTCATTTGTCTCCCGTTGCCTCCCAGCCTGGATGCCTGGCACGGCTCTCTGGGTGGACGGGTTCATTTGTCTCCCTTTGTCTCCCTTCATTTGTCTGGCACGGCTCTCTGGGCTTTGTTTCCCTTCATTTGTCTCCCGTTCAGCCTGGATGTCTGGCACGGCTCTCCAGGCGGACAGATTCACTTGTCTCCCTTTGTCTCCCTTCATTTGTCTCCCGTTGTCTCCCAGCCTGGATGCCTGGCACGGCTCTTTGGGTGGACAGTTTCACTTGTCTCCCTTTGTCTCCCTTCATTTGGCTCCCCTTGTCTCCCAGCCTGGATGTCTGTCACGGCTCTCCAGGCGGACGGATTCACTTGTCTCCCTTGGTTCCCCTTCATTTGTCTCCCATCTCTGTGGGTGGACGGATTGATTTGTCTCCCTTTGTCTCCCTTTATTTGTCTCCCGTTGTCTCCCAGCCTGGATGCCTCTCTGGGTGGACGGATTCATTTGTCTCCCTTTGTCTCCCTTTGTTTGTCTCCCGTTGTCTCCCAGCCTGGATGCCCCTCTGGGTGGACGGATTCATTTGTCTCCCGTTGTCTCCCAGCCTGGATGTGTGGCACTCACGCTCCGCGGTTTCCTTCACTTCCCGCGGTTCTGTCCTTTTGGCGGGGTCTGGTTTGCCTTCGGCTTTGGCCCTGGCTTCGGTCATTCCTTGTCTTGTGGATGTTGGGGACAGGGTCCTCTGTCTGCCCTTCATCTGGACTTCGATTTCGCTTGGGCTCGTGGTGGGTCGTCTTCCTTGTCTATCGTTGGCTACACCCTGTCTGTTCGTTCAGTGCCTCGTTATCAGTTGCGGCCTCTCTCTGTCCTTGCTCGCATTTGGAGTCCCGAGCTGACGAGAGCGGTGCGCTGCGGTGCACGGCTTCAGCTACGAGAAGGCTCTGTTAACCCCCCGGTGAAACAAACGTGAATCACGCTGGAGTTAAATCGTCTATCGATTCTTTGATGATGTTCAACGAACCTACGCCGAGATACCCAGTGGTGCTCTTGGCACCTGGGGTTGTCCCGGCTCTCCCGGCGGACGGGTTCCTCTCCCTTCATTTGCCTGACAGATTCATTTGTCTCCCTTTGTCTCCCTTTATTTGGCCCCGGTTGTCTCCCAGCCTGGATGCCTGTCACGGCTCTCTGGGTGGACGGATTCGTTTGTCTCCCAGCTTGGATGTCTGGCACGGCTCTCCGGGCGGACGGGTTCATTTGTCTCCCTTTGTCTCCTTCTTGTTGTCCCCCAGCCTGGATGCCTGGCACGGCTCCCTGGTCATTCGCGGTGTATTCCGCGGGCACGCATGTGTGTTTGAGGCTCAGAAACGTGTGTTTGAGCGCGCGCGTGCGCTTGATCAAGCCACAGGCAGCATGCTGCGGATGCACGTACGAGTGCTTCAAGTAAATGATTGTGTGTTCTTGGTGTGTTCCAGCTGACCACATCGGCGCGTTCCAAGTGAACACGCACTTTTTGCATGTGACCACATGAGTGTGTTCCACGTCAGCACATGTTTGTGTTCCAGGTGAAAGCATGCGATTGTTCTGATAAAACACATATGCGATCCGGTCAAAATTCCTAGTAAGGGGGTTTAGTCTACAGAGGCCACCGTCGCAGTCACTTTGTGCAGTTTTTCATTCACACAAAGCGGAGTCCTGCAAATACCAATGGATTGCCCGCTCCCCACTGGAGGCGCTAGGATGGCGCTTGGTTTGCGCTAGGGTCTTCGGTGATCTTGGTTTCCAAGAGTTGGCGCGTGGGTTGCCGCGATGGGCTTTGCGTGGCTTTCAAGGGTGTAATGTTGCAGTTCTTACTTAGTACTTGAAGCCAGCCCGCACGTTTACCTTCATCTTACGTGGCCTTAATATGTCAAATCCACACAGATGGTCGCCGTGACTCCAAAAAATACGGCGAACCCGCGCTAGCCGCGCGCTAGCAAGGCGCTAGCGCAGTGGTCAGCTGTGACCGGTTCCCAGTTACGCTTCAATCCAAATTTGCTTCCGCTCTCCTCGCATGCAATTATCATGGAGTGCGATTTGCTGGACAAAGGGGAGAAACAACGGCTGAGGCAAGACGGCAGGGATGCCTTGTACCGAGCATACGGAAGATTTGGGTTGCGTATTTCCCTGCGAAAGCAAATGCTTTACTGAATCGATACGAAGAGTTGCCACAATACGATCAAAGCACTTTAGCAATCGATACGAAAGACACTGTGCAGCTAAGCGAGAAAGAAGCGCAATGCGCCGGAAAGCTTTTGCTAAGCTGAAGCCTGTAACTGCTGGAGACGCATCCGATACTGATAGTACTAGCAGTAGTAGCAGCAGCAGCAGGAGGCTCGCGCGCTAGCAATGTGTTGCAAAAAAGCTAGATTGATCGTACACGAACACTATTTTCCTACTTGGAACACGCATATAAAACACAAGCGTTGTTCAAGGCAGAGCCCCATGGAATAGCGCCTCACAGCCGGCTTCGGGAACTTGATGTATGTGTCGCCCAGGCGTGCAGGAAATGTAAATTCCATGTGAACACATTTTTGTTGTCCAGGTGAACGCATGTGTGTTGCAC